TTTTTGAATTCAGTCACTGATATCATACAAATTGTATTGAGAACAGGGGCGGATCTAGGATTTTCTCGAAGGGGGTGGTTTTTCAAAAAAAATTCAAAAACTTTGACGACCTTTTTTTTTAGGTCGACCAAATTGATTTTCCGAGCTCTCCTAAAGCAGTAGAAAAAAGATGTTGTTTTGGCGAAATTTTTTGCGCCGCAGGCAAATTTTTGAAAGAACAGGTCAAAAAAGGTATTTTTGGGCACTTTTTGGAAAACTTTGACAAAAATTGCTTTTTTTGGCGTGCGTTCCACCTCAAAGTTAGTATATATTGGCGCCAAAGGCGCCTTTAGAAAAATTTTAGGGTCGGTCGGCCAAAATCGAATTTCTTGAAAAGTACCAAAAGGGAAACCCTTTGGGTCGGCAGGGTGTCGAATCCCTGAGGGGGAAAGGAGCAATCTTCATCAACCCCACCCACCCCACCCCCTAAATCCGCCCCTGATTGGGAATCAAACTAAGTTGTTTCGAAAAACCAAAAAAGCTGAATAGTGGCTACTTTTGTGACTTTAAAACAAGTAATTTTGTTTTATGACCCCAAGGCTTTGTTATGCTGCTGTAATCTGTTTCTGATAAAATTCAGTGACTTATCTTAAAGTAGTGACGGTAGTAGTAGATGTTGAGGCTGATCAGGGGGGGGGGGGGTTGCATGGCGGACCCCATGTAAAAGTACGTTATAGATTTCCGGTCCGCCATGCTATTTATTAAGATTGGGTATAGAGTCTACAATGTATTAAGATAGGGAATACCGATGGTAAGGTTTTATTGTTTGTGTGATGGTAAGATAATGGTAAGAAAAACGAAAATTTTTTGGTTTTTGTGCGAAAATGACTAATTTTTTCGCAAAAATCTCGGCGCGCGTTACCTAATTGGGAACAATTAATTGTTAATTACGTGTAGATTGTAGAATTAAGGTTGTGTATTTAGTTTTTTTTGGTGGATGGTAAGTCAATGGTAAGAGTTTTTGTGCAAAAACTTGGAATTTTTATCAAAAAAATTTAAAATTTTTTCGAAAAAATTCAAAACACGATAAGAATTTGTTTAATTTGTTTAATAAAAATTTATAAGATACTTTAACTTTCTATCTATCTGAATCTATTCTGAACCTACAGAGACATCGAAAAAAAACAGAATTTTTTGAGAGAAAAAAATTAAATTACAAAAAAGTATATAAATCACTGCATTATATAACAAGTTTACCGCAAAATTTTACATTTTAACATCATAAAACCAATATATTACGACATCATGAATGAATTTACCTGACCAGATCAGTTCTTATAAGTTCAGTGGTTTTGTATGATTTCCATCAACTTGTAATTGTCTTTTTGGATAAAAAAAGCTTAGTCTTTTCTCTGTTTGTTCATATGTTGCCACCATATGATTTATAGTTCTGAATCCTCTATTTGTAGATATTAGGTTGATTGCTTCATCGAGCACTCTCCTGTACTTTGGCACAGGTCCGTCTCCAGAATCTTCGAGAACTCGCTTGTTTAATCCTTTACTGCTAAATTTGAACTTATCGGACTTGTTGTCATAGCAGCAATATGTCTTGCTACACAAACATAGCATTTCTGTACATCTGAATTCTTCTTTAAAAAGTCCTGGCTCCCGCTTATCATGCTTTTTATGCGTACTGCAACACTTTCGAGGAAAGAAATTTGATTTTGCATCCGCCTTGAAAGAGTCTCTGCAGTCATTTTTCCTCAATTTTTCCCAAGCAGCTCTCTTATCTGGTTTGATACAGTCGTATAAATTCTCTTCAGCAAGTGCCAAGTAAAGTGAGTCGGTGTCCATCTCCAACTCTTCGAATTTATGCAAAGAAGTTATAGTAGAGCTCCAACATTCTCAGTTTTGCATACTGAAGTATGAAAGAACCAACTATGATGGGTTCTCGGTGCTCAATAGTTGATTTCAATAACTCCACCTCATATAAGTCCTTCTCAACTGAGTTAAGTCTCTTAAGCAGTGGTTCATTTATTGCCTTATGGGTTTTTTCATCGTTCAGATATTTTGTGATTGTATGTCTCGATCTATCCATGATCTGATATCCATACGAAGAATTACCCAAAAGTTTCACTGTTTCTGCTGCAACTCCTGACAAAGGTTTTTCATCTCCTTCTCTTCTAGCATCAACCACTGACTGAACGAAATTATTAAGGTATTTCCGAAATTGGAGATTATTGAACAAAACGGTAAATTTTGGTGCACTGCAATCCAAGTTCCATATAAAAGTTGAAGAGAGGAGTTATAACTGTTCCATTTTCCAGCTTGAAAATAGATATCAGCATTCTCAGAGGATGCTTTGACATTTCTTTCTCGATCGAATAGTTTTTCATGTAATCTCCAGTATCATTTCTTCCGACCTCAGTATTTTTGAAATTTGGAGGAAAATTTGCAAATTTTGATTTTAGCTCATCTGGAACAATTAAGTCGCACTAAACGTAGCCAAAAAGAGATCCATCTTTTATTTTTGCTAGAAGTGAGTCTGTAGAAAGAGGTCTTTTATAGGAAAAGTGGGTTCTGACGTGATTTTTTTGATCTTGTCATCGGTTTTGAAATTTTCTCACCAGTCACACTCTCACATTTCTTCCACTTTGTATCCTTTCTCTTTAATGTATTCTCGTCGCATATCATCCATCTCTCTCTTCTTGTTTCCTCGCTCAATATCATGTTCTGTTAAGGAGGGACGAGCTTCTTGACAGGAACAGAAGTGGTAATAACATCCCATTGCTTCAAACACTGTCTTACAATGATCACAATAACCATCCACATTAAAACAGTCGATTTTTTTCTGTTTTCCAGATGTAAAAAAGCTCTCAATTTTTCATTCTGGTCTTAATTCTTGATAAAAAGACATGACCATATTCTCAAAATTGCGAGTTTGATTATGTCTAGCCTTGAATTTCTGCATTTCAGTGTCAAACTCCCATCTCGTGTACAGTCCTGTTGGCATATCTTGACACATTGAGAAAGGGTAACGCTGGCTTGCATCAATTCCAACGACTGATTCTCAAACATTTGATGAATTTCTGATGTATGTTTCATCAACTACAGCTTTTCGAGTGAAAACAATGGAAGGTCCACCCGTCATGTCCTCTCTTATTTTTTCACACAAGTCTTTCATCACTTTGGATAAAACTTTTAATTTGTGGATTTGTGAAGACAAATGTTTGCTAGATTTGGAAGTGTGCAGCCAAGTTTTAACATATCTATCCCCTTGTTATGATAAAACTGAATCATTTTTTGCATTGCCTCCAGGGTTGGGACTACATCTTTGTTGTTGTACCACTTCAAAAAGTCTTTGAACACTGTCATTCCATTTTTCTTCCAAGTCTCTTTTAAGTAATTGTAATTATCCAAAGCAGATGTAGGAACAGTCTTGATTTGAAGCTTTTTCAGTGCCTGTTGTTCGTCAAACCCACTTTTTCTAAGCTTCTCATAATCAATGAAGTCTTTGTCTAGAGGATTGTTGTTTCTAAGTTTACTGAAAAATGCTTCATACGGTGGCAATTCAGGAAAGTCAAGTTTGTCTGGGTTATCAAACCATTCATAGGGAAAAAATATTTTCGTTTTGCTAGCTTTATAAGCTTTGAGAAAAAATTCCAAAGTAGTTGCCCCTCCCAGAAACTTCATTATGTCGAGAAAATGTACATCTCCAAACTTGAAAGATATAAAGTCATTTGCTTTTTTGATTACGGATGTTTCTTGTTCTTTATCGCGAATTAAATAAGGAAATAAGTATGATTTGATCAATTTCAAATCATATCTACCGCTGTTAAATCCAAAAACAGGTAAAGTATTTATATATCTCTCCAGATGTTGTTTCAAATCGATGAGTTGATTTTTCTGAAGTCGCAAGAATTGTGTTGACATATCTGCTTCTTCTCCGTTGTTTTGCTCCATGTTCTTTTCTCCGATGTTGTTGGAGAGAGTAGTCACTTGGGAAATCTTGTTCACATGAAGGACAAACTGTCGACTGCTTTGAATTTGGTTGAGCACGCTTCTTTGCAACATGATAACCCATCTCCTCTTTGCTCTTTGTATAAAAATGACAGTTTGGACACTTATGTTCCTTTTAATTTTCACATCTTTTTCGATGTCACGCATTATCAGCTCTCCTGTTTTCCTGACCCCAATCCTCACATTTGACTTTCTCGTTTCGGTTAAGGGTAGGCATTATCTCAAAATAATTGGGACGTTAGAAATGTTCCAAAATTAAAAACCTAAAGTACCAATTAAATGATAATACTTACTTTTTTCTTTTCTTGAAGTAACGAAATGTAAAATTTGAAGTAAAATTTAATTGACTGTTTCTGATTGGCAAACAAAATTAATGATTTAACCCAGTAAAATAAGTGTATTTATACTATCAATGATGCCTACACAATTATCCTTTAATGGTAATGACGTCATTCTTTGAATAGAAGTGACGTCACCGCCTACGCAATGTTCCTTTTATGATAAAGACGTCATTCTATAAATAGAAGTGACGTCACCACCCACGCAATTTTCCTTTTATGGTAATAACGTCATTCCTTCGAAAGTTCTAGAATTTTCCAGAAACATTTTCAAACAATCAGAACTAAGCAGTTTCTAGACATAACTTTGGATCCAAAATATTCATTTTTGAAGAATGTCAATTAAAAAGACTACAAGAAAAAAGAAAATATTCCGTGTGATTTCCTCATTGATGAAATAGATGTAGATTCTTACTTTTTTCACAATTTTTTGGACGCTTATGTTGTCCAAAATAGAGTCCTTCGACTAGGTAAAGGTCTCTTTAGGGAAACCTCAATCAAAGAATTTATTTTTGATCCACATATTGCGTATCAAAGTTATGAATTTACTGCTGAGTTACACCTGACTAGAAAAGAAATTTTATTGATTTTAGAGAACTTGAATTTAATAAAAAAGTCGTACGATAATATTTCAAAGACTCTTTTTATTCCCTACCCAACTCCCAAATTTGTCAAAACTCCCCAGCAAAGTTCTTTTTTCCTCCATTTTTTAAAAAGATTTTCAAAGTTAAAAAGCTTGAATGATCAGGTTTGGTATCAGATTTCCAGAGATTTGCTTTGAAAAATTCATCAATTTGAGTTATCATCTCAAATCTACATCAAAGTTAAAGAACTTGAATATCTGCTGAAAAATCAACAATTTTTCATCAATTATATACAAAAAAATCAGTTAACTTGATGAGAAGACTTGCAGAGTTGCTACTTTTTTTAATTTTTCTTCTTTTGTTACTTATATCGGCAATATTTCTTATTTTTACAGCAAACAACTTTTGGTCATTTATTTTTGCGATTGCTTTTGTGTATACTTATTTGGAAGACTTAAGTCCTTAAAAGGTTCCTCTGATTGGATACGACAATTTGAACAAAAATGAACATTTTTGTGATTGGAAACGACAATGTGTAAAATGGAGCTTTGTTTCCAATTGGACACGAGTTTTCTATAAGAATTCCATAAAAGGAAACTAAAATCTGATTGGACACGACTACAATCCAAATAAGGAAAATTCTTTTGGTTAAATCCACACATTCCACTTGAAGGTACCCCTCTCTCTTAACTAAAAATCGTTTTATTTTCAACTTAACTACCGTCAACTACCTCCTCTCTCAGCTCTAAATACAATAATTTCAACTTAACCACCATCAATTCCCCCCTTTCAACTGTAAATCTTGTTTTTACTCATTAACTCAACTTATTGCTCAAAAAGATTTTCTCAGTAAAAAACAACAACCTTATGATCTCGGTGGAATTTTCGGATGATTTAGTGCAAATCCAAGTGCGAGAAACAGTTTGTGGAGTTTTTCAGTCACGAATGGACATCCCAATCCAAGTCTGGCATATGGTGGAGGTGATGCACATCATATAACGCAAGTACCCCCTACAGAGAATCAACTTGGAGAAATGCAAATGATGGAGGAAGTGGCCGAGCATGTGGGAATGAACTACCCTGAAATTCCTGACTCTAGATATGTGGCTCAACCATTCGACGATTTCCTCTTTCCTTGGGAAGAGGGATCTGTGGACAACCCAATTACAATCGAAGAGGATGAGGGGTTCTCTGAGCCAAGAACTCCAGTCAGCGAACCACCAAGACAACCACCAGTGATGGAGGCAAGACCAGCTTTGCGCTCCATTGAGAACTTGCAAAATTTTGATAACTCAGCTGCTCGACAGCTCTTTGATTTGTAAATAAATTGGTTACTGTATTGTGCTTTGTAATTTAATTTCTTCGTATCTAGTAAATTTATTTTCAAGAGATAGGAACAAAGAGATCATAGAAAAGTTTATTAAGAAATTTCAAAGGTAAAACTTTGTTAAAAACGAAAATAATTGTGCATCTGGTAAACAGTTTTATAGAATTTTGTTAGAAAGATGGCAAAAATTATTAAACCAATTTTTGCAAGCAAGTTAAAAACTTTACATTAATTTTTGCACCATGCAAAAACTTTTATATATTTTTTTGCCTATTTGTTAAAAAAATCAAAGAAAATTTCGCAAATTAAGAAAAATTTCACTAAAAATTTTCGCATTTTAAAGAAAACTGAAAGAGGATTTTCTTGCACTGTCAATAATTAATTAAAATGAAAATCTTTGTTTAAAATCTCTTTTTTTTCATGTATATTGATCAAAAATATTGGAAAAACAATGTATTAAGATAGGGAATAGTACTCAAAGTCAGCAATTATGAAAAAATTTTTAGCATCAATTTAACAAGTTTTTTTACAAAAAATTTTGCAATTTTTGCATTTGCATAGGAAAAAATAAGTTAGATTTTTGCATTTGTTTTCAAAAAAACCACGAAAAAACTTGCATGTAACACAAAAATTTTTGCACACTTGTTGAAAAAACCAAAACAGTTTCTGCATCTTGTAAAAAAGTTTAATTAATTTTTTGCAAACGTTTTGAAAAAATCAAACCAAATTTGCATCTTGCGAAAAAACTCTGAGTTAATTTGTGCACACGTGTTGAAAAATGCAAATTTGTTCGTTGAAAAAACTTTTGATTTAAATTAAAAAAATTTTGAAAAAATTTTTATTAATAAATGTTCAATTATTAATAGAAAAATTGATACGATCACTATTTACGGCAGCAAAACCATCAATAATATAATCAACAATTTTCAACCAGTCAGTCTCATACTTGAGTTTTGAACTTTTCGAATCCTTTCCAAAAAAGCTGATCCAAGAGTCTGAGTGGACGCAAGCTTCTGAGCAGAACTGAGATAATGTCTTTTGAATTTTTTTCGCAGCAGTCGTTTCTTTGCAACACTGGGTAAGTTTTCCGGTATTCTACATTTCAAGTTGTGTTCGACTGCACGATTCAACTGATTGAAAACTTCACCTCTTGATGAAATAATGTTGAAATAAAATCTGTATTTGTATAAAGTATATATACAGTCAACAATTTGATAAGTGAAATCTATCTAATCTTTACAAAATCTGATCGAGCGATGATGCGATTAATACTAAGTGAAAATTGCAATTTTCCACTGGGCAGAATGATGAATGGTTAGATACACAGTAGTCTTGGAGACAATAAATTTTTTATAAAAGTTTTCTGAGACAGATAAAAAGAGATTTTGCATTGTAGTCCGAATAAAAAGTGGGATATGCTTGACACATAGCAGATGCCATCACCGATTACTTGTTGAAAATGATTTTTATCTATATTGAATTGCTTATATAGTAGTTTCATCACCTACGCAATGTCCATATTTGGATCATCACCTACTCATTATTCCATATAAGGTAATAAAACCTTATATGGAAGGTACAGTGAGTAATCTACATTTCCTAATTTCTATAAATTTACAAATATTATTATTTTGTAATATCTACTACTGATCAGTTGGCTCTGAGTCTCAAATCAAAAATGTATTCACGAAAAGATATCCTTCCCAACTATATTGAATTTGCTAGAAAAACCAAAAAAGGGTTGGGAGATTTTCTTGGTCCCAAAAACCCTACAACGGAAAAATTTACTTTGAACCTTGCTTCCAATTGCTAAAAAAATGAATTTGGACAAATCGAAAAAACCCAGCAAGTCTATCTTGGTGAAAAAGAAGGGGAAAGGATATCAGCAATACGGAATACTGTTATTCACGATGCTGAAAACCTTGAACTTGTTCCTGTATTGGAACCCTATTCTGACAAAGACTCAACCATGGAGCAGGAACTTGCGAACTGTCATGCGGTGTATGACGTAGCAACATAGAAGAAGAGAACGGTATGTGTCACGATCCAGAAGTACAGTGTGAACAAGCCACCCTACATTCAGATTCGATTCAGATTCACTGCAAAGGAGAACGAAGTCTTGAAGCAAGTTGCCTATGTCAACTATACTTTGAACGAATTCAAAGAACTTGCCCAAGTCTTGGGAGATTTTATGTTTGATGAGAACTGTAATGTTCAATAATTTTATTGAGTGATGTTATTATAGCAATGTAATTCAAATATTCATCTTCTTGAATCAATTTTTAAAACTTCTTTGAGCTGAGCAGTATGAGTTGGAACATTGGTTCTTCCAGAAATCTTGTTTTAAAGCTTCAAAAAAAAATTGGGACTTTTTCATATCGTCTTACAAGAAAAGTCCCAGAAATTTTCACTAACAGTTTTGGAATCTCAAAATTTACCAAAATTGCAAGATTTGGATACAGAATCGCAAATTTCTCAATTTGCATAATGGAAGACGAAAAATTTTTCTAAGTTATCGTTCAGATATTAAGAAAATAGATCTCATAGAGTATCGTAGAAAAGGAAACACTTGGAAAAACAATCAGAAATTTCAGTTGGAAAAAAAGAGTATGATAATTTGGTTGATTTTATCCCCTCAGTTTTGTCATAAATTTGAAAGAAATGGACCAAAAATTTCTTTTTGTGGGTCTAATTGGATACGGAAATTCTTGTATGGATTACATTTTTTGCAAATTCAAAAATTTTCAGACTTCATGCAATTTTACATGATGCAGCTGGATCTGTGAATTCTACTACTTATAAGGGACCTGGTTACTGTTATGTTTTACATAGATTTCCTTGGTTGTTGTTTTCTTGGTCATGTGACTGGATTGTTCTTCTGTTTATATGTTAAAGTTTTTGCTTCATCAGTATATGCATTGTTCGATTGCTAGTTATTCTAACTAAAATTGTCAGCAAAAACAGTCACCATCATGATTCTAGGTGTTTTGGATATTGAGTGTATTGAAAACAAAATAGTTAAAGAGTTAGGAGTTTATCAAAATGGACAAACTGTGGGATATTCCTTTCTTCCTCCCAAAAAATTCAAAGCTACATCTCAGTCTGCTTGGTGTACGAAGCATCTTCATGGAGTCAATTGGAACAGTGGCCATGAAAAATATACTGAGCTTGAAAAAATAATGAAAAAACTAAAAGCTCCAGAAACGGAGTTTTTTGCAAAAGGTTATGAAAAATGTAAAATTCTGTCATCAGAAGTTTTGGAAACAAAGGTTACAAACTTGGATGACTACGCATGTCCAAAAGTTCGGAATTTGATTTTAAAAGATGAAGAATATGATTGGAGGTGTAGCAACTACCCATTTCGTCATGCAAATACTCTTCACTGTGCAGAAAGAAAAGCATTTGCATACGGAACATGGACTCGATGTTTTTTTAATAAATTGTAAATTACCTTAATAATTTTGAATTATCGTGTTTTTGAAATTTAAATGTCAATCATTATCAATTTTTTCATTCCAAAGTAGAGATGGGAGATGAATGTGACAAGCAGTTAAATTTAGGAAATTTTGTTTTTGATGAGGAGAATCATGAACGAAATTCTTGGAAGTTTTTTGGACGTACGTGTAATAGATCTCTTTTAGTGTTTATGTGCCAATTTTTTGTCATAGTTTTAATACTAGCATGTGCAATCGTTTGAATAATGTTATCCACTACATGTGAAGAAACAACAGTTTGGGTAGCAAATTTATCAAGTACAGT